CTGACAGTGCAGGTCAGAGGTCAAACACCTTTTTTGTGTTTTTGTTTCCTTGTTTAATTATTTTATTCCAAATGTCATACCTTCTTACTGGTTGTGTCCTTTGTTTCTTCCTCCTTTCATTATTTTGATCTCCACCCATCCGTTTTCTTCCGTTTATTTCTTATTTATGTGTCTTTCCTTTCTTTCTATCCTTTTCTTCCTATCCTTCCTCACGTGACTTGTGTACTACCTCAATTATGTCCTCTCTTTGCTTCCTTGTTGCATCTAGCCCTTTTCTTGTAAGCTTCCTTTATCCTTTTTGTGTCCTTCCCTTCTTCTTCTTCCAGTTGTATTACTGGTGATTTCCATCTTGATCCAGTTTCTCATAAATCTACCCAAACGTTGCCAGCATCAGTGAGCCGTTCACAGATTCCCTTTTTGACACTTTCCTTTGGTTTCTAGTGTTAAAATCACACATTGCATCACATCGTTTGGAAGTTGGTCAAAAAACTGTGTGAGGTTATGAGTCACACGCAGTTTTTGAAAAGTAAAAATGTACTTTTAAGATGTCTAAATAACAGCTCTCTTGCCTTTAAGTCAAATATCAGTTGAGTTTAATAAAGATAAAGATTTATTTGTCATTTCTCTCCATTTCTGACGCTAACGACCTGATTTCCTTCAACGCCCGTCTCCACGGCAACAGATGGTGTTGACAACGTGGGGTTAGTGTTAATATTCAGTGGCTGTGACGGTTGTTAGGCACAGCAGAGGTGGATGAACCCCGGCAGGACGGCAATCTGCTCACTTTCGCCCGTCGTCAGAGTCTTACCAGAAAAATATCAAAATTTGAACCCAATGCTTCTCTTAATCACTCCTAAACCTCACTAACTTCTTGTCTATGTTCCGTCCAAGTTGGTTCTCTAAGTCTGTAGTTGACAAATCAGCAAACAGAAGTTGGATTCTGGTCTATGGGGATAACCTGCTGATCCAGAATTTCTGTAAATAAATAAATATTACTCCTTCACTCATTTTGATGGTTACAGGAATCTAAAAACTGCTGCAGAATCATAGCAACACAACTTCTGGTCTCAGTAGGGAATTGATCTTAAGCCAACAAGAAGTGTTGGATTCTTGTCTGCTTTTTATCACAGCTTTGATAAAAAAAGTGACTGCAACGTGGAGTTTCTTACACTCTAAGTCTCAAATGAACCTCAGCAGGTGGACAAAATGTTCTGAATCTTTCCGTTTATCCTGACATCGTCTTCCTTCGTAGGTATTCAGCGTTCTTGTCAAAGCTTTCAGCTCAAGGACGTATTTTAAACATGTTTTTGTATATTCAAAAAATATTCTAAAGGAGACTTTGTCAGCAGGTCGTTGTCTTTCAAACTCGAGCACTCCAAATGAAAGAAACATTTCAGTGTCTTTTCATTCTTAAAGGATTCTTTTTTTTTTTCTCGACAACTGACTCACAGCGAATTCCATTGAACAAGCACACCCACTCCTCTGACCCTGAGCGAGCGGGATTTAACTGAAATATATATGATAAAAAATGTCCCAGAATAACAAGTTACTTAGCAACAGCCGACATGATCATAGCAGCAACTGAGAATAAGGAAGCAGACGAGGAGAACAAATGGCACAGAGAAGATGATAAACCTTTCTTTATGTTTTATTGTTACACAGGCATTAACACAGACCAGCCCTAAACCCGATGTCTGCTCTGAACCTGTTGGCTTTGCAACACTCGACGGACTGACATTCTCTGATCAAAGCTCCCTTCTTCTGATATTCTTATTTATTTTTAACTTTGGAAATACACAATATTGTCCAAAGTATTCACTTGTTTACTTACGTATGCACATAAATACATCTTATTCTTTATCCAGTAGATTTAAAATGATGTCGGCCCCATTTTTTTAGCATCTGTAACATTTTTATTCCCTTCCACTACAGTTCTTGTTTCATTCCACCAACTGAAGTTGTGTGCGCTTAAGGGACTTTTTGACCATTAGTGAGGTCAGACACTGATGTTGGACAACAAGGTCAATTTTGCAGTCTGCACTCTAATTAATGCATAAACTCAACTGTCCATGTCTTTATGCTCTGGTATACATGCAACCAGATCTGTTCACCATTGTGCTGGTTATAAGTGAAGTTTGTGCCTTGGTGCAGTTTGTCTTTCTGCTTATTCTGATGAGAACAGTAAACAACCACAATATACCGCTGCCCACTCAAAGTCCTATTGCGACCACGTCACACAACTTTTATTATCAACAAAATGAACTGATAGTTTACTTTGTTGATCCTGAAGGAATCAATTGCTTCATTCCAAGATGTTATAGACTTTTATAGAAGTGACTGGCTCAGCCAAATTTAATGCATGTAAACACTTTCAGCTGTGTAGACACGTTTCACGTAATATTTACATCCGGAAATTTCACATACGCTGGAATGCAAAAAAGACGATTCTTTTACTTGCCGCACAGAACAATTGGATTTAGTGCAATGCGCCTCGTCTAAGGGAGAATTACACAGGAAACTCATTGAAGAATATCTCAAAACCATTTGTATTCTTTTTTCTCACTCTGTCAGCAACGCCACACACAGACTTTGTTGCTATGGCAACTGACTAACCAGAGCTCCACTACTGTATCAGAATTCAACACCAAAAACACACACAAACATTTCCCACACACAGAACAGGACATTCAATCTGTTACAGTATTATGTTTTCAGGATTGATGTTTATTTTGCGGTTAATAAGTGATCGTCTGAACGCAGCAGTGGTTGATTAGCTCATTTAGAAACCTGCTCTGCTAATGATCTGTCAGAGAGCTGTTTGTGAGTCGAATTTGTTTTTTCCAGCTGAACCGAAACGCACCAAATTCCACAGCATAGTCACATGTTAAGATTGTCAAAGTCAAGCTAGCATAGCTGACCTACTTCTATCTCCCTCACTGTAATTTTTTTTATTAAAACTTTTTCCTGGCCTGTGAAATGTGATACCCTTCTTTTACATTGGTTGTCATAGTGTCAACAATTAGAAGCAAAGCACTGTCTTTGTTTTCCTTTTATATATCATATTTATGATTTAGTGTGTCATGTTGACAACTGGACAGCTAAACCCAGTGGCAGTCATCATCGGCGAGCTGTTTTTTTGCATGAGACGTCACGTAGCAAAGCGTCTATAGTGGACATTTTTGTAGTCAATATTTCAAACTACAGTGAACCAAAAGAAATACGTACAATTGGAGCATCCAATGAACCACTGAAACAAGCGGCTACAGTAGGACAGTTCAAATCAAAATGTTCCCATCATTATACAGCATGTAATCCTTGCATACACTATCAGAACCCACTTGTATCACAAGAACTACTCAGTAAAGTGACTGGGTTTTTTTTTTTTTTAAAGGGTTTCGTATATGTTCCCTCCCTTATCAAGGCTCCCTTCTGTCAGATTACGCTAGTCCGGATGAGGGACTGCAGCAGCACACAGGATTAGACTTTGCCTCACTGTCAGTCCTCACTTCTTAGGGATATGCTTACACTGAAGAACCACTTTGCATAAACTGCAAGCTGCAGTAAAGTACTTTAGTCTGAAAGAGTTTTCTGTCGAGGTCTCTGCCTCAATGACAAAACATAAGGTCATTTTACTGTTTAAAAATGACATTGAATAAAGGTTTTGTTGCTAAAATGTGTTTCTCAGGGTATGTTTCACACCAACATATATCTTAAACCGGTTATACTTTGAGCCTTACATTTCTTTTCACAGAGCTTTAATTTGCATACCTCAGATTTAAAGAAGGAGCTTTATGTGCTACTGAGCTTTTTGTTCAAACTGTAGCTTTGAATAATTTGGGATTCACCGGTTTTAAAATGTACGCGCTTGAGAAAGCTCTGTATTTTAGATACGAAATGTTGCAAGTAGTTGGTCTTGTTTGACACGGGGTTGATAAAATCAGGAATCTAGGAAGAAACGTGAGATTTGAGGTAATGGAAAAGTCGAAGATTAGCCTCCAACCAATCCTCTTCTGTTTTTCCCGAACAAGAGTACAATTACAATTTGTACAAGTACAATTTATTTTTTACTATTGCCAAATCTTTTCTCCAGACCTCAGTTCTTCTTGCTTTAAATCTTCAGAGAATTTTTCCATACCTCTGACACCATTTTATTAATTTATTGAAAATGATTTTCTTAAAGAGGCAGTATTATGTATTTTCCAGGTACACAGTGCCATTTTATAGCACAATCAACTGTTAATTTCAGTAGTTATATATATACATATATATATATATATATATATACATATATATATATATATATGTATATATATATATATATATATATATATATATATATATATATATATATATATATATATAAATACTTCAAAATTTAATGCCTTAAAATTGGCCTCTGTCTCTTTAATAAATCCTGCTATTTCTGAAACTCTGCCTTCAGGAAGTCCTCACATCGCTCCTCTGTTAACCCTTGAAAAATGTTTTCCACCAGCTGTTGGCTAATTGCTGCTGGCTAGTCTGAAGGGGCTCCAAGGAGGAGCTGTGCCTGGGAGGCGGAGCTACGCCCACCCAGACATTTTCCCATGGAAGATTAAAGAATTTCTCAAACCTGCACGTAAGAATCAAAGCAACCCTCCAGGTATATTTTTGATGAGAAGGTAACATTACAACAAGATGTAAAGCTCAAAAATAGTTGATTTTGCACAATACCGCCCCTTTAATTGCATGACAAAAGTGTACAAGAAAGCAAGAAACTTAAAAAGTTGCAAAAATAAGCAGTTGAGAAGATAAAATTAGACGTAGGGCTTAGAGAATAGCAATATCCCTAAGAATCATGACCATTTAAAAACCCTTTAATAACATAGTATTAAATCGCTGGAAGGGAAATTTTAAATCAAAAGCCAAGGCAAAAAAAAGTACTTCCAGCTCAGCAACCCAAACGTGAAAATTCTGACTTTTAGTTCAAGTTAAGAGGTGCAACACGAGCAGACGCGCCATACCTTGCTATCTCTTAGGGGCTGAGAGTCTATCTGATGCGCCACCGATGCAGTTTGGTTCATCTTGGCTCCTCAGTCTGACAGCAGGACCAGAAAACAATAATATCCTGGACAGAACCAAAGTTTCCCCTGACTTCCTTATCCGCCGGAGCAGCCCCTGGAAGTGTCACCAGACGGAACACATTTCCATCAACAATCCGTTTTCTTCCTTTTGTGTCTCTCTCTCTCCGTCTCTGAATGGTTTCCAGTGCGTTTGCATCCGGTCTTCTCCGCTCTTTCTTTTTCTCCTCTCTGCACGCCTACTACCCCTTCTATAGCAACGATGCGCTGCTTCACATTCAGCTGACGGGCAGCTCATAAACTAGGATGTTTGCCAGTGCCTCCCACATTCAAAGACATTTCTTGATCAGAATGCAAATTTGCTCCAGGCGAAGACTTTGCAGGCGTTTGGTTTGAGCTCTTACATCCAACGCTCCTCGTGTAGATATTTACTTTGACAGACTGTCACTGATACAAATAAATTGTGTAGAATTCAAACCTTCAGTCTGTCAGAGACTCCCAATTCAAACGTGAGCTAGGCTGGGACTTTCAATTATTATTATTGTTTTTTTGTTGTTGTTGTTGTTTTTACACAAGCAGATGTGGAAAATATTTCTGATGAAATTAAAAAAAAGATTTTCATTTATGGTGTGAACGTACTTATGAGATTTTATGATGCAAAGCTCTCAAAACACTTTTACACTCATTCTCTCATCTCAAATTTTGCTATGAAAAACCATGTACTTTGTTAATAAAGATAATATATGTTAATCTTCTATATTTCCTATTTCTCACTAAAGTTTAAACCTTTAGTAAGCATCATTTTTAAATAATCCAACTGCTATATCAGTAATGTTTTTAATGTCTTGACTGCTTGAGAGCACTTATGTTCCACCTCATGCGAGCCAGTTATTGTTATTATGCTTGTCAGTGTATGGATCATATTTTATTGATTGCATTCAGTTCTGTTGCTGTGTTTGCTTGAGAAAATGCCATTAAAGGTTCACCATCATTAAACCTGCTGAAGCTTCCAGAAGATATTTGGTGTGAAGCAAATCTTAACATGATGCATAATTTTTAATTTGCTGGCTGAAGTTAAAAAAAAAAGAAAAAAAGAAAAAAATCTTCAGAGAGAAATTGATTTAAAAAGCTAAAGCACATAATTATTCCGCGTTTAGGCCTAAAATGTTCCTCAATAAACCATTTATTTGAAGTCCCGCCTTTGATTTTTCTCAATGAAACAGTTAATTTCATACTGCACTGCTTCTTATGAAATAATGAAACGCCATAATCGCTGCGGCACATGTTTAATTAAAGCAGCCGTGCAGAAGCAAAAGGATTCAGGACAAACACGCGAAAGCTGAGCAGTCAGTTATTATGTGAACAATGTTTCTGAGCCTGTTGTGTGCATACAAAATGGCATAGTTTGAGATTTTAAATAGTTCTTAACATTCTGCCTCTTCATTTTTGCCGTTTGTTGTCATTTGGAGTCGTGTTAAAAATGTTAGATGCCAACCTTGCATGTTGACCCACATCCTGCTCCTTTCAACCGATCTAACAATGTCCCCATTTCTGTCCAACTTTTTGCCTGTTTTCATCATGTTTATGTCATTTTTTTTATCTTCAGTTGTCATTGTGTGTTTTTACCTATGAAATATTGGTCACTAAACCTGAGCTGAGCTTAGAGTTTTGCCTCCTACAGCAGATGAGGAGATACCGTCTGTCTCCTGTTCAAGGCTTCCTCCCACAACAAATCCACGCTTGTCTCTTCTCTGTTATGACATTAAATCACTGCACACAGTTTCAGGTGGAAACTCTATTATTGCAGAGCTTTACTAATGCAATATCAAAGGGACACTGTTTTTTCGCATTGTGATATACAGCTGAATTTCTTTGATTCAGCTGTAAGAGTTAGCTTCCTCTGCTAACTGTAAAAACAATTCATCCCAACGTTTAAAGCTTTGCCGGGCAGACGTACAGCTTTACCTCTGAAGGTTTATGAGAACAGAGGGCCGTAAAAGAGTTGAGTGGACTAATAAAAGGGAACATTAAGACATCTAATGCTCGAACTCCTCTTTCCTGAGTTTAATAGTACCTGTGGGTCCTCTTCCTGGTTTCAGATGTACTGGTTAAATGGTGGAACATACAGCAGTGTATTATAACAACTCCATCAGATTAGATAACTGAATCTGTGTGTTGTCAGAAATATACATCATGGGCATCAAAATTCTATTTGGTTTTTAGTTCAGATAACAAAAGTTAATTTTAAATGTTTATGCCTTATTTGTTGCTATAATTCAAATACCACTGTAAGGATAAAATGTTGTTTTTTTTAATCAAAACATAGCGGGAGAACAGTTTCCTGAGTATAATCCTCATTTTATAGCTAAATTATCCACATTAATAGACAGCAAATTTGTTAACCATGTATTACTTCAAATTTTTGTTGTCATTTTTTCATACTTCCTGGTTCTGCCTATATTATTTTGACTGCAATTTGTTCTGATACCATTTTAATATGTGCAGAGAACTGAAGCTTGGCAAAACATTCAGCAAATGGCCCTTTTTTTTACTTTGACAAAGACTGCTTTACGTTTTCATTTCATGAAATTAATTTCGACTTCAGCATCTCGCTAATTTTAGCCAACACTCTCATCTTTAAACACATCATGCAGCCATCTGTTGAATTGGCTGGGAGAACACATTTTGCTAAGATAAGGGACTGTTGTGTGTGGGAGCTCAGTTAGTCAACCTTTAATCCTGTGCGAATGCAGAAAACAGCAGACTTTAAAAAGAAAAAAAAAATTAATAATGGCTTTACCTACAAATTCCATTTATTTTATCACTGTTGGCTCAGGACAGTCGAAACGTAAAAATAAATACATCCAAATTAAGTCCTCAAATACAAAAATAACGGATTGTTGGGTCCTGGTGAACATTATACAGTACACTCTCTATTGGAAGCCTGCTACTCCATATTTCTAGGTTCAAATTTTACATCCATCAGAAAGAAATAACTTCTTTGTGTACAAAATACAAGGTCAGTTTGTCATGTTCTCCATGAGCGTTGGGATCTTAGCGATGACGGTCTAAGTAATGAGTTTCCAGCCTCATTTGCTCCAAGATCCCTGTTTTCAGGGGCCCAGCCTCGAGGAGGTAGATGCCGTTCCTCCCCTTGACTTTCAGAGATATTCTCATCTTCATCTTCATCAACCCGATTTTGGCCACGTCTCCTCGCTGCGGGAACAGGGGCTCTACGTCCTCTTACCCTCGAGCCTGTAAACACCTCATCCAGGTGGTCTTCTGTAGAAGATGGTTCCAGAGGGTGTGTGGAGGCAACTGATGCCTCCACTGGACTTCTTTTTTCTTCAATTGTGTTCAGTTTGCTCATTGGAATTAGCGAGCGGGATGAGGAGCGTGGAGACACACCAGATGACCGCAAGCGATCCACCTCAGGAATAGCTAATGGCAAACAAATAATCAGCAAGTGGGAGAATTTGCATGCTTATGTACCATAGCTAATCAAAGGAATTCAAAAGGAGATCCTGCTCACCATGACTTCGTCTTCTGAGAGGTAAAGCAGAATCCAGATTACCACCAGGTTGGAGGGAGTAGTACCTCAGAGACTTGGAGATGTTCTGTGCTGGCTACAGGAGGCAAAAGACAGAAGGATAAAGGAGAAAATATAATTTACTATTTTGTTTTCTCTACTTTCCTCTTTAGAGAAATACAAAAGTTAAAAAGGAGCAAAGAAAAAGACCTAAACCTGTTCACGGAAATTCTCAGCACGGAGGCTGCGTCGGATGCTTGCATGGCGGCGAATCAGAATCTCTCTGGTTTGGCTGTCATCTGGTAGACTGTATTTGCTGGTGAAAGCCGTGGTCTGGAAAACAGAATTGGTTATATTTTCAATATAAAGACAGGGATTAACATTTAGACATTAAGAAAAAATAATGCACAAGTTTAAAAATTTAATGGCTTTTGAGTTATTGACAGATCATCAAACGAGATGATCCATCCATAAAATTTCTAATTGAATACCATCGTCCACTCCTGAGATTTAAATTTGTTTTGTTCCAATTTTCATGCAATACCCTAGACCTTGTTCCAATTTTCAACAGATACCCTGGTAATTTGTTCTCAGTTTAAATAAATACCCCATCCTTGTCCCTATTTTTACTTGTCCCTCTCATCAGATACCCCACTCCTTGTCCCCAGAACAAAGGATACCTTAGTACTGTTACCACATGTTACAGTCCTTGTCCCTTGTCACAAATTTCTTGGTACAAAAGATACACTAGTTCTTTTTGCCAAATACCCCAGTCCTTGTTCACATTTTCACCAGATATCCTGGTTTTTATCCCTACTTTTTCTGGATACCCCAGTCCTTGTCCAAATCTCGTCCTTTTTTTCAAAGGTTACACTAGTACTTTTCCTCATTTTCACTGGACACATCTGTCCTTCCCAGTTCCACTACAGCTTTATTTCCTTTGTAACAGAATATCCACGTCCTTTCAGAGGATGCCCTGGCACATATGAATAAAGTTAGTTGTATAAAACTGGTGTAAAATTAATTATTCCAGAACGCAGAAGAGTATTTTTGAGAGTGTGGAAACATTTATCTATGAAATATGATTGTTACCCTTTGTCGAATTCTGTACATGTTCTTAGACAGGATGTCATGCATTTTCCTAATGTCAGTAGCCTTGAACTTCTTCTTTGGCCGAGATGCCTCCTTCTTCTCATCTCTAAGATCAAGATGAAACAATAGACAGTCTATTACTATTATCAAGATGGACAAATAGCATGGCAGCTTCCCTCTAGATGGACAAAAGCTTGCAGTGAAATCAGATTTGGTATGAACATTCAGTTGATGGACTCATTAGAAAATTGATTATACCGTTTCGAAGACTTGCTTAAATGTTTTTGTCTACTGTTTTATTGAATTAGACATCGCTGTATTGTCCAGTTTTGAACTTGTTACTGGAAAACAACATCTGCAGTCATTATTTGTCTTAATCAGCTCTTTTCTCTGGGTACATAGGTGCGTTTGCTATCAATTAAGAATGCCCCAGAGAAACTACACTTTGGTAAATGAGTAGAAAATACACTGACGTACTGTAGGGAAAGAAGAGATGGAGCTGCGCTGATGTCTCCCATCGTTGTGTCCAGTAGCTCAATGGCATTTTGAAGCTCCAGCTTCTTGTACATAGATACTATACTCGACTCGGCTTTCCTGTCTCGCAGCAGGATGCGTCTCAAAAAGCGATCGTTGAACCTTTTAAACCTTTCACAGAAAAATAGTTCAATTCTTTTTCAGGTACATTTTTGGATGGTTCACATTTTAAAAGAATCCCTACTTGTCTTTCCAGTATAGTGACCCCACTGTCCACACAAGTCGTCAATGCCACAAAGAAGGTGCTCCATTGTCTAGAAAAATATTGAAAAAATAACGTTTCATAATTGGTGTCCCATTTTACGAAAACACAACAATAAGAGACGATGAAATCTGCTACTCACCCTGGTATGAATCTCTACATTAATAGTATTAAGATCTTTGTTGGTCCTTCTGATCTTTATATACTCAACTATGGGGCGGATGCTGATGCCCTACATGAGACATGAGATAAAACCGAAGTAACGGAAAGAATCTGCAAAAAGTGGATTTGTTTCAAGAAATACGAAGACTTTTGCAAAGCTCTGAAGGAGCTTAAGCCTAAAAAAGTCAATAAAGAAAATAATGACAAAATAAGTCAGACATGCATGAAAGACGCCTACCTGGATGAAAACTGTGAATATGATGATGGCGACTGAAGCCGTGACAAACAGGTTTCTTCTATTAATTGTGTCCCCCAGAGTGAAGACCAAAGCGAAGCAGATTGCTCCTCTCAGGCCTCCGTACGCCAAGCCAAACTGGTCCTTTAAATTGAACTGGATAGTCCGGAACGGGTTGATGATCTGGGTCAGCACCAGAATTCCTTCAAAGGAGGAGTTACCAAATGATCAATCACCCTGATTATTTTGAATTTGACAAAGTTCTGGAAAGAGTGACAAAGCTCCTCACCGAGTCCTCTCCACAGGAAGGCAAAGAGCAGCGTGAACAGGATGTAGGCCCAGTTCCACTCATGGACAGTTGTTATGGTAACCACACCCAAGAAGAAGAAGATGAGCGTCTCAGAGATGGTAGCCAGCATCTTGACAACGTGGCGAATGGTGGTGCAGGATCTCTGGGAAACATTTTCCTCCACGTAGTACTTCATCGTTATGGCGCATATGATGATGCTGTATGAATGATAAAAGAAAAGCAGTTTACAACATCAAAAATCTTGACCAATATTTCAATTTCAGTTCACGCACATTCTTTTCTAAGCTGCAGAAGAGATTAGGACAAAAACAAAAAAGATCTCCCCTTACTTCAATTTTAAAGTCCCTGCAATGTTGGCACATTTTAGATCTAATGTTAAGGACATGGTAATGACTTTGAAAGCCATTATAAGGTTTTAGTTCCTTGAATTTGCTTTTTGATTTCAGTTCAATTCAAAAATTCTTCATAAAAGGAAATTTAATTTTATAACTCATATAATCTCAGTATCTTCAATAAGTCGTGGCTGGCTGGAGGGATCTCCGGTAGCAGACAGTCCATCAACAAATCCAAAGAGACCTCTGACTGAAGACTGCCTGACAGTCTCATGACCTTCATGACATGCTAACAGTTAAATTTCAGGCCAGCAGAGGCAATGTTCCACAGTAACATGCCCTGGATGCCGCCATAAATTTTTGGCGAGCACTACTAATCCACCTCGTTTGCTTTTGCCACTCCTCTGTCTGATCATATACTCAAAGCTAAAAATTAAGGAAGACCTGTAAAGTCTTAACTCATAATTAAATTTAAGTTATTAAATACATTTCACTCAAAATGCATTGTTTCACTGTGTGTTTATTTCTGTGCAAGGACCATTATGAGCCATGAAATAAATAAATATACAGTAAAATAATTAAATATATTTTTAAATACATTTTCTTTAAAAAAATATTTCAATAGGTAGATTTAATTACACGTCATAATTTCATGATGCTATTAAATTATGTTTTAATTGTTTTATGATAATCAACTAATGCAAGATTTTCACTGATGTATTTCTTTGTATATTCATTTAATTTTGTCTCCCCTAAACCTCTATAATTTTCAGTTTGTTCATCAGTTACTGCCAAAAACTCTCAGCTAGGGTGGTGTGAAAAACCGACTTGATATGTTCTTCTTTTTGGTCACTAGAGGGTGCAAGTTGATAAGTTGGCACGTCTGTGTTACGCTGTACCGTCATACTTCTATTTTAAATTTGTTTTAAATTCTAACCATATCAATTGTTTCTTATTATTATTCATAAACAAATACATTGTAGTGATTATATTTTGTTGCACCTCACTCATTTTAGTGGCAAATTGATCATAAAAGCCTTTATATCTATAGGACAAGACTCATCCTCTCGCAGATTTGTTTGTTTTTCAGTTGAACTGTACAAGATAAATAATTTGAAATCATTTATTATGGCCTTCTTTTTATATGCCTTTAGAAGGGTGCATGAACTTTTAGGAGCCAGAGTAGTTTCTGTCTGTCCAGAATGTAGTCAAATCTTGACTACCCATCGCCTCCTGAGGTTGGAAAGTTTTGTGGAAGAACAAGTTTGTCTTGTAATGCTGAAGGAAGGCGGAAAGAAGCCCTCGTGAGAGGGCTGTAAGTGGAAAAAAAAACAAGGCAACATCCATAAAGATGTTATGTTCAGTCAGATTTACAGATCAAGATCCACAGCATACAAAGATAAATGCCATTTCCTCTGGTAGTAATGAATATTCAGGCCTTAAAGAGTGAAAAAAAAAAAACAACAACCCCAGAATATATAACAAAAGTAGTGTTTCAGTTTTGGCTTTGGAGATGGAAAAAAACAAAATTTGAATCTGACTGTCATCAGGTTTGACAGGTTTGCAGTGATTAAGCAGCGAACTTACGCCATGACGCTGGAGATGGCAAACAGCTCTGCCACCAGGTAGGCCAGGTAGCTGAACATGAAGACGAACAGGGGCTCGATCTCCTGCACCCTGCTGGTGAAGCGGGAGGTGAACGCCGCCATGAAGCCAAATAGGAGGCCGAAAAGGACCCCTCCAATTCCCACCACAAAAAATCTGGCCACGCCCAGGAACACATCTATAGAGTCAATGGCTGGCATGTTGGCCAGAAAGGCAAACATGCTGTAGAGGACCTGAAGCGGCAGAAAACGAAGCACATTACTGGACAACTACTGTTTTACTGTCATAAGAAAGATTTCAAAAAGCCAAACAAGACGAGATATTAGCCTAATTATGTTGAATCTTTGTGTTCTAATCAAAGAACTTTTGATTAGAAAAATAAACATATTTTGTCTGCTTGAGAATGTTGTAAACAATGTGCCAGCAGGGCTTGAATGAAACTTGGCTTTCAAATGAAACTCAACTGAAACAGTCGGTATTGTTACAGAGGCGGCTTCACATCACAGAAGAAACTGACGGTCAGGCAGATTAGGAGGTTTTCCTCTGAGTCACTTTGGAGGATATGTCATGCATAAAAACAGTTTTGGATTTATTTGTTTTTATTTGCCTTACAGGACAACCTGCTAATTAGATTTTTAAGCCCAAAGAATCAATTCTGTGTTGATTTGGCCAAATGTTTCTTTCTTTTAATCACATCTAAATTTTAATAATTTTCTTTATGGACAAAATTATTCCATTTACTAGTGGGTTTTTTAGATAACACTCTCCTCTACATGTATTTTTTCGGTTTTTACGGAAAAAAACGCTCCTTGGCTACTAAATTTTAGTGTTAATAATTGTCATTTACTAAAAAGTTGGATTTTAAACTAGCTAACCTTAGTTTTGTGGGGGTCAGGGGATTATATGTATATAATTTTACAATGAATTATAAATGCAACTAAATTATTTCTTTTGCACTCAAAGATCCAGAAAATCTTTAAAATTATAGTTTGAAAATTGGAAATAAATTTGTAGAAACCCTGCAGCAGGGTTCTTGTTTTTTGTTTTACTTCCCTTACCTTCCTGTTACTGTGTGGTAGCAAAGAAACATTGGGGTCTTGTAGAACTTTGTATCTCTACTGAACTTATTTAAATGTGTTACATTAGTCTTATTTACATTACATGTTCTCTCCCCTTTCCCGTTTCAAACGAGGGCCTTTGTGTAACATCATGTTTTTACCACAGAAAAACAAAAAGTTATGATTAAAAAAACTCTACAGTGAACTGTAAAGTGAGCTTCTATATGTCAATATCCCTTAGTTTACACACCTACACTGTTACATGTTGACCTCACAAGGAAGCTGGGTTGTCACAGGGTCATAGTCCTAAATTAATCTGAACCATCTGACCTAACAAGTTTACACTCTGACTGAAAATTAGCAACTCAAACTGTCTCACAGCACCGTTACTCACCACCGTGACGGCATCACTAAAGAGACCCTCTCCAAAAATAACTATGTAGATCTGCTCATTGACTCCAACATCTTCAAACACGTTAAGAACTGCCACAGGGTCCACAGCAGAGATGATTGAGGCAAAAAGCAAGTTCTCCTGCAGTAATATGAGCAGACAAAGAAGACCCATAAGCACATATGCACCAACTATTTTAAGTATGTTAGACGCTGATAGACACCGGAAGGGTTTCATGACTGACCTGCAGATTAATGTCTTGAAGGTCAAACACTTCAAATTGGCAGATGGCAAAGAGAGAGAGGCCTATGCCGATGCTGTTCCACAACGCTCCCACCACAGCGTACCACAACACCGTCCCAACATTTTCAAAGAACGGCCTTGTGGGCATGAAATAGCCGTTATCCAAAACAATGGGTAGGAGCATGTAGAGGAAGAAAACATCGGAGCTGAGAACGGCGGGGGGTTCCTCCTTCACAGAGTACATGATGCCCCCAACTATAAGGCCGATGCCAATGAGTAGACATGACTCTGGGATCCAGATTGTGATTTTTTGGTAGATGTGGAAACCTGAATGGAATAGATGAAGCAATTCAAGGTTAGACTTCCAGATTATCCACAATTAGTCAAACTTGCTTTTCTACCTACCAATTTTGGAAAAAGAAGCCAGCAGTACCCATAAAGTAAATTCAAATGGGATTTGGATCCGACTGTAGTTCATTGTAAACACAGGAAGTTTGCCCTGCTCCTCCTCTGGATAAGGCTGAGGTTCCCCAATGTCATTTGGATGAGGTTTGACAGTGTCAAGGCTTACTGAGTTTGTTGGTTTTGTTTCCTCGAGTTTGCATTTTCCAGTAGTGCAGCAAAGAAAGAGCACAAAAATCATGCAGATGACTCCACTATTAGTTCTCATCCTCGATAAAGTACATCTCTCCATTTTTAAAAGTCAGAGTGGCTCAAAAGTCTTCCAAAACCATTTAAATGAATCTTAAAAATGGGGTAAGAAGCTTTTTGATGGCCTAGATCTTGTGCAGGTCTTGGATCACTCCTGTGCAGACCTAGTTTCATTAAGTGTAGGAGTTTTGCTCAAAACTAAGGTGGAAAAAAATCCCTTCTTCCATAGTGTCACAAGGATCAGAACTGAGGTAGAAATCTGGTTCCGACTGTTGCTGAACCTGTTTCATCTGTTTGCCCTACTACACCTACTGGGTGGAGCTACATGTTGAAAATAACATGAAGATGTAAAAGAATCACTGTTATTGGCATGATGTCATCGAGTCAAACCCTTTTGCTGTCTCGGTTAACAAACACTCCCACGGATGAATGGCTGGGACTCAGAAAATAAGACTCACCTAAAAAAAAACTTGTGCGGGGGATCTGCAGTACCTTATAAAATCCACATGATGGGAGCAGAGCACAATTCTGTGATTCACTGACTGACATGGATTTCCCATTTTAATGTGACTGATACAGGTTAATATGACGTACTACGATATTGTGACTGTTACAAGTTAATGTAAAGCAATATTTTATGTGATAGATAAAGCACTTTCCTCACATGAAACCACAAAAATGTAAATAAAATGATTAAGAAACAAGTGGCAGGTTTCTGAGTGTTTGTAATATACTAGCTGCTGTACCAAGAACAGGTTAACCTATTGGGTAGATAAAAGATATAACTAACAAAATTAACAAAGATATTCGCTGGATTTCTTGATTCAACCTAACAGGTGATTTACTACCTGTTGAATTGCTTAGACTTCCCTAAACAGGTAGAACCAGTTAGGAAACTAATACAAGCTAGCTACAGCAATGTGAAAAATATTTTACTGCTTTCAGACTTCTTCTTTTGCTTTGCATTGTCTTCTAAAATATCAATATAATATGTTAATAAAAATTTTTTACCCAAATTTAACCCAAATAGAAAGTTGTTTTCAATGGCCAATTGTATTTATGATGGGAATGGGTTGAGGAAAGCTATTCAAAAAGTCTAGCTCTGAATGACTCGTGAAATGAAACATCTTAATCGAAGTCTAGATGGCATCCCATCTATGTGAGATGGGATGCCTGATTTTAAACAGACTTTCAATCCCTGGGAACTCTAGAATTAAAACAATTTTATGTAGAAGAATGGAAAATTCCTCTGAAGGAGTGTACAGAGTTATTGCTGGTGTTACAAAATGGCAGTTTTGTTCCCAGATGTTGAATGTTTTACTTTTTCAACATTTTAATTTGGATTTCCTTCCTAATAACTAAAATCATTGTTTGAAAACAGTTTATTGTGTGAAGTCATGTTTCCTTTGTCTGATAGCATTTGTTTGGTGATCTGAAAATTTAAATGTGACAAAAAAACAAAAACTGAAAAGTGGTTGAATACTGCTCAAAATACATGTACATTTGTTTGACTGTTTTCCTATGTTGAAATACTAAAATAGATAAATTATTACTACAAAACTAGCCTTTTATAATGAACAGTTAACCAAATGTCACAAGTTAATGACAAAATATGTGCACTTTCATTTTAACATGTCATGTTTATTCTTTTTTCCCCTTGTCTTAAAGTATTTCAAAATTATTAACCAGACTTTTCTAAATCAAAATACCTGAAATAGGCAGTATTTTTTTATAAGCCTAAAAAAGACCAAATTTTGTTTTATTTTTTTTTATATTTTTATCCAGTAAAAACTGAACGCGCTGCGTAAGATACGCAATGACGTCTGGCTGTTCTTGACACAAGGGGCGTGGCTAAAGGCAGTCACTGCTGCGGTTTGGGTGACGTGCAGAAGGAGACATAGAGAAACTGCTGCAGTTTACGGACACTCACTTTCAGACGGTTGTCGTGTTTCTTGGCGCTAACCGGTTTTTCTATGCAGTTAAGGGAACCAAACTGGTATGTTGCTGCTACATGTATGTTTTTTTAACCTGAAGTTGTGGAATAGCGGGGGTTTTTTATCGTCTGTGGGAAGCGAACTACCCACAGGCGATACTGCTTATAATGCTGGGGATAAGTTCTTTAACGGAAGGAGTTAATTTCTGCCCATTGGTATTCTTTTGGCGTAAACCCTGCATATGTCTTATCTACTAAAATCTAATAATACACCGGGTTAGCAATATGCGCAGTATGACTGTATAAGAAACTGGAATTTTGTTTTAATATGGCAGAGGACTACTAACCTTCTTTACGGGGGAAGTCTTTTGAATTTAAGTGATTTATTTCTGAGCTGCGTAGTTATGTAACTTTATTAAGAAACAATGTATCTTCAAGGCTGTGTTTGTAAATGAGTCATATTTTCGGCTGTATCATTGCAGTGCATGCTTTTTGCATTGCATCTTAGCATCTAAAGAGATGTAATGGAAACCTGCTTAGAACGCGCGTGTGTGCGCGCGCTACAGTATACCCTGTGTGGATGCTGACTGGCTGGCGAATGTAAACACATGTGTTCCTGACAGCTCACTGTGGTCCTGCTGCTTTTTAGTTTCACTCCGAAGGAGTGAAGGTCAGTGGTGTGGAGGAGATGAGGATACTACTCGGCTTCAAAACGAGGCCTTTTACCGCGACTGGGATGAGTTTAGGTGGTTCGAAAATGTAGAGCCAGTGTCGAAGAGCATATGTGCACCCAGAGTGTTTTCTGTCTTCCATTTTTCGGGGTTTAACAATCTGATTTACTTGAAGCGAACTGCTGAGAACAAGAGCACCACGAAAGCCAACTTTTCTGTAGCTTCATTAAAAAAATAAAATGTTTAGGTTGAATCTTAGTACTTTAGGGATTTTAGGGATCTTAGTATTTTAGATGAAAAGTATAGAATTTGCTGTCCAGGTCTGGATAAGTATGGACTAAAAAAAGGTGTATAGTGAAGTATAAAATGTTTGGGTTGTCAGGCTTTACTCCATTTTCTGTTTAAAATATTATATATATATATATATATATATATATATATATATATATATATATATATATATATATATATATATATATATTTATAAAAAAAAAAATAAAATAAAGAAATCAAGATGAAAGAACAAGCAATTTTGAAATTGATTTGATGAGTGACTGGAGATTATTTATTATATGGACCATTTTGTTGTTCCCTTTGGGATCTGGACTTATTTAGATAATAATTGGACCTGAATCTTGTTTTGGGAGCAAATGACGGCTAAATAATTCTACAACCAATGATTCTGTCGCAGCAACTACACTTTAGAACCTACTTAGAGTCAGAAAATTCTCAGAAATATCTAACAATTTTAAAATTGATCTCCCTTGATTATCTCCCTTGAGATAATCTCAAGGAGTCCCTTGAGATTATCTTGAGAATTTATCACCGACTGCATCTGAGCATCTCTGGTGGACTGTAGTGCTTTTTTTGTTTTGTTTAAGCTTAGTTTTTTTCGTCGACGCCATGTGCTCGTCGTGACTCATCAAACCCGTCCAATCAGCTGTGAGCAGGGAGCCTGTTGATCCACGCTCCTCTGCTTCTGTGCATCATCTTCCCCCATGTGTGGGTAGTTACCAGCGCATGCCTGCAGCCTGCAGGGTCGTCTGGATGCTTGGGAGCTGGGAGAACACAGCTTATCTAACGAGGAGACAAATCTTTATCAAATATGTCGTGTAAAGGTCACATAACAAGATTAATTAAGCCTTTAATTTGCTTCACATGAACTAAAATGGAGTTGATTTCAGTTATCTTAGGAACACTGAAATGTGAATGTCCTCGTTCTTTAGCTCAGTAAAAGCAAAGTGGAAGATAAAATACAAAAAAATTCAAACATGAGTCAGAGCTAAAAGCCACAGCAGCTTTACATCTATTTTAAACTGAATTGCTCTTCTTCTGAGCACTTTAAAGCTGCAGAACCTCCTGAACATCAGCGCCTCTAATTTGTGAGCACATATGTGGTCTGCTGCAGATACCGGCTGTTCTCACGTAACGGTCTCTTTAATATTGATGAACTCCGGGGGAGGTTAAAGACACATCAGCGCTCCGCCGTGTAGCCGGCAGCTCGGGCTTAGCAGCCATCTCGCTGCGCTTCTTCATGTTGAACAGCTGTCGCAGAGTGATGTGGGGCGTGACGGGGTTTCCTGCGCGGTGAGCACTCTTGAAAAGCATCTTGAGACGGTGAGAAAGAGCAGCTGAAAACCGATTTGTGTTTCGATATTAAAATACTAGAGGTCAGTGTTCGTTCTCCTTTCATCCAGTGTCTGTCAACAGTTGAGTGTAGGAGGAGTTAAGGTGGATTTTCTTCAATTGACACAGTTCCAAAAATTATACGTACAGGGTCAAATAGATTATTCTGTCTGGACATGTGACCGCTCTTTCTGGTATGAATTGTAAAGCTCATTTAAATCAGTTGGTTTCATGGCCTGGAGTGGAGTCCTTCGCTTGAAGGTGAAGTTGGAGCACAGACTTATTCCTTGGTTGTTCTTTCTGAAACCTTTTTTCCAGTGTGGACAGTGTTGCTCATGTTGTGCGGTCTGCAGTTCATGGCTTGAACTTTGTTTGCAGTTTGGAACACCTCCATTGACCAAAACCGTCCCCTACATATCTCTTGCTCCTCTAATCCACATAAATATCAGAAATGATAAGTGGGTAACCGTGTTTTCCAGTCATTTCTGTTCTTTGCACTTTGCACTTCTTGTTGATCCGGTCACGGCGCCAAATGTGGGACATCCGCTGCGGTCGACAAAGTGTTAACTGGATCAAGCAGTCAGAGTGAGTATTAAAAGTGCAGCAAAGGAAATGGATGAGTGCCTGTGCACTTGTGGCTGCCGCTTCGTGACAGCATCTGCAGCGTGAGTTTGTTTACACCCCGAGGCTGCAGACCGTTCTGCACTGGAAAGCTGATGTCATGCGTACATTGGCTGCAGATTTGTGCTGCAATGTTAGGAGGATGTGAGGGGAAACGCATCGTCACACTGTTTGCTAATAGACCAATGCAGCCTTGTTGGGAAAGACGTGATACAAATGGTGACCGGACTCAAAACGGAAGCACAGACGTGGATAGACGATGCATTCTTTAGGATCTGAAAGCTTTTTGTTGTTGTTTGTGCGTCCACTGCTTGTTTTTCTGACACTGCAAGAAGTTGGTGTGGTGTCCTTTCAAAGAGTTTTGTAAGTTGACCCTCTTGGCTCACTTCTGCTTTCAAGG